ATAAATCCTTTCTAAACAGCTGAGTCTTCTAGTCAGCTGAAGTAGTGGCCAAGAGTACTTATGACCCTAATCTCCAGATCATGACTCAGCTCTTCCTTTTATGAGGTTTAAATGAATGACAAGCGTATATCCTGCTTTCGCCTTTTTTCTAGCCACATCCAGATATGTTGGGGGTTCTTATCCAGGCCATGTAGTTTATGTAAGTTCAATAGGAGTGACATGAAGTAATGACTTTATACTCCCCTCTTATCTAATCCAAAACAGGAAGACTGCAAGTAACACATTTTCAAGAGGAAAAAAGTTTATAATGCCTCTGTTTCTGAAAGGCTAAATGTTCTATTGTGACTTAGAAAATCCTGACCAAGTCAGGGTCAGATGATTTACTAGAGCTGCAATTTACCGTAAAGATTGCTACAGTGGATTTTTGTTGACTAAAAATAGGTGTAACTTTTAAAAAAAATAGCTGAAAAAAATGTGTTGTGCCTACTTGTAGCAATTTTCTTTAAATTAAAAAAATCAACAGTTGGGGATACAGGAGAACCCAAATTGTTTGTTTTTATTTATTTATTTTTGCTGGAGGCCCACACAAAATATGGCAGGTTACTTGCTCTAGAGCAGTGGCCCCCAACCTTTTAAACACCGTGGACCGGTTGGAGAAGGCGGGGCACCCCCTGCGCTCTAGAGCATGCGTGAAGGGTGGGTGGCGCCCGGGGGGCACTTGTGCACATGCGCAAAGGAGTTGTGCGGGGGGGGAGTACATGCGGGGTGGATGGGAGATCTGTTCGCATGGCCCGGTCCAGACCACAGACCAGCACCAGGCCAGGGACCCCTGCTCTAGAGGGCAAAATTTGAGAAGTATTGGATGCCCAGTAATTGTGGGGGGAAAAGTGGCCCATTGGCTGCTCACTCTGATCTACCAGCATGTCTGTAGATGCCTAGAAGAGGGTTATTCAAATATGTAAGGTTATGTAAAGATGGAGGGCAATAAAATCAGTTAAAATCACCATGCTAGATAATGCGTGTGAGTGTAAAAAGCATGGGACCCTAGGAGTTGTCTAAACAAGTAACTTTTCCAAAGTCTGAAAATGAATGTTTTATTGACTTGTACCCCATGTATTCCAGTCAGATCTTATTGTTTTGATAATATGGGTAACTTTTTATGAAGACAATGGAGAATCATAAAGAATTATATTATAGTCAGTCTGTTGTCCCATCTGATCCCATCTGCTACAGTCCCATCTCTCTATTCTTTGGCAGCTGCTAACTGTTCTCAGGCATAGTGTTTTCATCACTGGCTGCCTGATCCTTTCTTCAGCTTCAGATACTGAGTATCAAAGCAGGGATCTTCTGCCTCTAAGATGTATGGTATATCGTACACTGAGCTATAGCCCCTTCCCTTTGCTGGCTCAAGCAAAGGTCTAAATATTTTCCAGTTGGGAACAGCTTTTTCTCAAAAAGGCAAGAAAACCATGGTTCTGCATGTAGGTGCATTTCACATTTCATAGCAGAGGGATGCATACACAAGAACAAACAAATAAAATTATTCCTTTAGGCTTGACATGTCTGTAATTCCAGTCCCTAAAGCAGGTGATCCCAATTTTGGGTAACCCAGGTAGTTCTTGGACTGCAGCTCCCAGAAGCCTCCACCACTAGCTGTGCAGCCGGAGTTTGTGGGAGTTGCAGTCCAAGAACACCTGAGTTACCAAAGGTTGTAGAGCTCCTTTGTCCCACCAAATGTTTTGGACTCTTAGTCGTTCTTGAATATGGAGTCTGAAGAGCTTGGAATTATGGAGCATGATGTTTTTAGCATAGTTCTTGCATTTGCCCTTTCAGCAGCTTCAGAAGTTACAATGACAGGCTATGAACAAATGGCAGAAAAGTGACATTGGTTCCATGTAAACAGAATTTAAATAAGGTGAAAATGAAGATGAGTGATGAGTTGTACGGTGGGAAGAAGATTGATAATTATTGCTGAGAATAATATTCATCCTGATTATGTTCACCATGTGGCTATACGTAATGCTGTATCTGGCATTGTGTCTAGATACTGTATATCGGTAACTGTGATCTGGAGTTCCTTTTTGTCCACTGCAGCTCTCTTGCTGGCTGTGTGTCTTTTTAATGGAGACCTTAACCAATTGGTGGCTTTTCAAGTTTGTTTTACTCTAACAGACTACCTGCATATCTGTCCTTTAAATTATCCAGACCTAGATGCAGTTCTGAATGCTGCCATTTATCTTCATGGCCGTTACGAACTTTGAATAAGGCTGTGTCCTGGATCTTGCATGCTATGTTTAGAACAGAACATATTTTGAAATTCAGTGGAGTTCCTTTGCCAGTCCAGTTTTTTTGGACTTCAAACTGCAGACAGACAGCATTGCCAGTGGAATTAGGGGAATTTTAGTTGAAAGCATCTATAGGACTGAACATTCAGCATCCTTGCTGTGGCGGCATCACAGATCTCATCCTTGGGAAACAAGATAAGACTTTTGTCTTGAAGATTTTAAAACTTCTGATTGGTTGTTGTCAGCCCTGGAGATTGGAAGGTACCCTATAAGATAGAAGGAAAACTGAGATGATTTTTAAAAGGTAGCTTATTTGACTAATTTTCCATTGGATTATTAATATGGATCTTTTGAAATTGGTTTTTAAAATCGAAAAAGCTGGTTGGCTAGATCAGTGGTTTAGTGAACTAGCTGCAGAGCCAGTTTGATTGGAAGTTTGATTCCATTCTGACTCCTGGTAGAAAAGCCGGTCTGTGGCCAAGCTGCACAGTCCCAGGGCACCCCCAGAAGAAGGGATTGGTAATCAACTTCTGTGTATTATCTACATAGAAAACCCTGGGAAGGGTTGCCATAAGTTGAAATCAACTTGGCAGACGGGCCCCACTACACCACAGAAGTAGCGAAGATTCCCTTTGTGTCGCAAACGTGCATGAAGGAAGGAGTCCTGATGGAGGCAGCCTCCATGCACTCTATATGGAGGCAGCCTGCGTCCAAATTCGTTCCCCCATGCACCTCTCCAAGTTGCAGGGAATCCTTGTGACTCTCACAGTGCAGCCAGGCACTTTGATGTGGGAACATCATGGAGATGAAAGTACTGCTCTATCTCCAGCCAGTTTGAGGTCTCCCAGCCCTATAATTTGACCTGGAGAGTTCCCAGTGACTTATGGAACCGGGAGTCCCAAAAATTCTATCCAATCCTACCTTCGATAGCTGCTTTTCTTTTGCAACTACAATTTGTTTGATTTGGATCACTCATCTGCTTTTGTTTTCAAAGGTGAAATATAATGCATTTAATTTATATGGATTATTAATTAGAATTATGAAGCAACTCTTAAAGACTTGCAAGTCAGATTGATTTTTTTTAAAAAATGTTGATTCTTTATTTGTCCCACCTGTTCCCATATTTAATAAAAGCTTCTAGTTTTCCTACTGTCGTAAACTGGAGGATAGTACACAGCCAAATATATGTTTATCTTGTTCATTTGCACTTTGATCTTTTCATGGTCAAAGCGGTGAGAGTGAATCATCAGTTCAATAAAGATTTTTATAGGTACACTATAAAGGGCATCCAGATAGATCATGACTGTGTTTAACCACCAGTTCATTGCCATTGCTTCTTTTCAAAGAATAATAAAAACCTTATAATTAGAGAGATAGAAAATGTGCATGAACCTTTGGGGGTGATGTTTTGCTTGGTTGTTTTAGCACTTGTCACTATTTACTATAAACATTGAATAACCTGGGATGACTGTGTATGGAAAGAACTATTACACTCTCACAGACAGTCATTCTTCATGCATCAAAAACTTTTGCATCTATTTATTCTTCACAGTATGGATGAGTAACACTTTGTCATGACATACAGTAATGCATATTGTGGAATTGTCATTGGACTATTGAATGCATATTGTGGAATTGTCATTGGACTACTGCAAGTGGTGCCTCGCTTAGCGATGTTAATTCATTTCGAAAAAAACGCTGCTAAGTGATTTCATTGCTAAGCGAAACGTGGTTTCCCATTGAAATGCTTTGAAAACCAGATAATCCGTTCCAATAGGAACGAATTGCCGTCCTTAAGTGAAAATCACCATAGGAAACATCGCTAAGCGAAACTCGGTTCCCCAATTGAAATGCATTGAAACCTATTAAGTGCATCTCAATGGGGGGAAAATACAACAACAAATTAAAAAAGAGTCAGAACAAAGTCAAATTTGGTTAACAAAGGGTTTATTAATTGCACTTTATGATTTCAAACATTTTAAACAGTAAACTTTAACTTTATAAATAACAGAAAAACATTTAAAAATCAGCAAACATGAGGCTGTTTAAACCATCGTTAAGTGAAACAGGGGACCCCAAATTTAATCGCTATGCGAAGCATGGTCCCAACCATCGCTAAGCAAAAATCGCCTATAGGGACCATCGCTAAACGAAACACAAAAACGCTCCGAAAAAGTCATTGCTACGCTATTTCGTTATCGCTAAGCGATTTCGTCGCTAAGCGGAGCGTCCGTTAAGCAGGGCACCACTGTATTTCTTTCTAGTGAGAGCCAGTGCGGTGTAGCAGACTAGGACCAAGGAGCCCTGAGTTCACATCCCTGCTAAGCCATCAAAACCCCTATAGAAGTGGGGAAGGAAAACCAGTCCTGAAATATCTCAATACATTGAAAATCCTATCAGGGTTGCCATAATTTGAATGTGAATTTAATGTAATATACAGTAATTATTTCTACTTTGACATAATCTTTGTATTTTGGAGAACAAAAAATGGGCCTTGTAATTAACCAAGTATAACTGGGTGGAACATAATGCTGTGTTTAATGAAGATTGTAGTCCAACATAATTCTAGGTCACCAGGTTAGAGAAGGATGCCATGCTACTTTTATCTTATGAATGGAGAATAAAGAAAAATCTCAGACATCATTTTCATCAAAGCAATAAGTAATCTCAGATGTTCCCATGAAATGACTTTTTCTTTTTCTTTTCCTTCCTCAGGAAAAGAGGGATAGAAGTTGTACAGGTGAGTAAACTTGATTTTAATCTCATTATTGTTAAACCTTTTCTAGAATCATTTCTCATTCTGTTGTTCTTTCTTGTGCCCCTGCTCCTATGTTGGATATTTTGTGTCATTTTGCCTAATTTCAGATAGAGACAAACAATGTTGCATTTTTAATTGTGTGTGTGTGTGTGATGGTTGAATTAGATTGCTGTTAATTATAGCTAAGTATCACTATTTAACATATACTGTTACAGAATAGTAGATGTGGAAAGAGATCTTAACAAAAATAGAGCATCTACAGAACACAGTAGCACTGTTGGTACTTTAATTATGATGGTAGAGGTGGGTCACCCAATCCTCAAGACCTACTTCAGGTTTCTTTCCTATATTTAGCTAAATTATTCCTTGATGTAGCCTTCTGAAAAAGGTAACTGTAGATATACCCCTTCCAGCCCTAATTTCACTGCTGTATTTCCCCCCACCCACCCCTGCACCTTTGTGTGTGATGTGGTAAGGAAAGACAGAATGAGATTTATTTAGCATTACACATCACAAGGAGACAACATAGAACTAGATGCGTTCCCGTTCAAACAAAAGGCTTGAGTTGTGGGCAGAGCTTGGGGAATTGTTTCTTAGACGGAATCGTTACTGTCACTCATTGTGAACTCGTTTTGCTTATTACTTTTTCATTTTGGAATCAATGGGGATTTTAGTGAGCCAGCTTCTCTGTAACTTTAGTATACTAAGTTGCAGTTAGAGTAGGCCCATTTGAATCAATAGAACTTATGTATGGGTTCACTAATTAAAATACCCATTGATTCAGTGGACTTACTGTAGTACAGTTGAGTCTGAAATGGGAATTACGATGGAAGTCCTTTTTGAAAGGCATAGTTGATCTCTCATGGCTTTGAATAACGAATCCAAAAAAGTTTTATTACGCTGTGGCAATGCTCAGTGTTGGTATATTCAAGAACCTCTAACTTCTCTAAATTACATATGAAGTATCTTTAGTTATACTTTTGGAAACAAGGCTTGTATGTTCTGAAGTGGTTTTGCACGAAGAACACATACTGGCTTCTCTCTTCTTCCTTCACCACCCCCACAACATAGTTTCTTGTCCATATCATAAATGTATTCTTCTCAAGATATGATTGGATTTGAACTTCTCTCAGGCCTAACCTGCATAGCCAATAATAATAGGTGATGGAAATTGCAACCTAAGAACATCTGGATGGCCATACTTTTCCCAACCATGTATTGTCATAACAAACATCATTCTTCTTACCTTTCCCACTCTGCCTTCTTTACCTGATTACCTTCTTAGGGTACATTTACTTCAAGACCTTTTAGGGTTAGACTGAGATGCCTCATTGCAACTCTTCACCCCTCTTATAAAAAATAATTGCATACAAAAGCTGCAGATTACAGTTATACTAATGTAATTGCTGCTTATGTTTGTTTTGAGACCAGAGCAGTGCTTTATTTATTCATTTTCATGTTTCTTAAGGTGATAGGCATTGAGATTGATGTAGACTTCCATCCAGTGAGATCAGCGCGCAGTAATCATAGTTTTGTTGCTCTCTGCTTTCACTCACAAAAACCCAATGAGGTGAATCAGCCTGAGAGTTGTTCCAAAATATGCCAGTGAGCTTCATGGCCAAGTGGGGATTTGAAGCATGTCTCTTGAGTCCTGGTCTTGCATTCTAACCATTGCACCACATTGGCTCACACATTTGAGTAGTAATGTTTGTGCATTACTATTACACATTTCTTATTCCTCTTGGACAGGAACATATAACACTTAAAAAAGAGATGCCTTGCACTCTTCTATTTTTAGATTGGGTTGCTGTTTCCATGTAAGTATTTATACAAGGAATAGGTTTTAAAGACTTCACTAAATGTGCTGAAAACCCATAATTCAGTAAATTAACATTAAAACTCAAGTCTAACACAGTGATAGACTTTGAAGTAGTGATAGGGACTTTGGACTTGTGCACCAGGAGAAGCACAAACACTTGAAAAAATATCACAGTAGCATGGTAAAAATGTGGAAGACAGCTTTGACATAAATAGAATTGAGTAAATATTCTCTTTTCCTAATAAGGGAGATATTGGCCAACATCATATGCAAATTGTGTAACCTTTTGGAGGCAAAAAATCCTAATTTTAAAAAACTATAATAGACCTCATAAGTTAGAAGCTGAGTCACACATTTGATCGTGCAATAGATAGTGTTTAGGGTGATTTCCTAAGATAAGGCAATTCTGCTTTAAAACTTGTACTATTTGTGTTACATTAGCATATCTAGGTATATAGATTTGGGATATTTATTCATTTGCTAGACAAAAGCGGGGGATCTTGACCAAGCAGAGACTGTTTGGCTTCTCCTGGAACCTGACCACTTTTAATAACAGAGTTTTACATGTCCAGGGTCATCCAAGACATTTTGCTACCAGAAACAAAGAGCAGGATGGTGCCCCCTTTTCCATGTACATAAACCAGCTGGATAAGCAGTTGAATCTTACTTCAGGAGTGGCAACTGGGCAAAGTTCTCCGCCGGTCTTCAAAGCTGCAGGCTTACTTAGCAAGCTGCATGATATACACAAATCTGCTTGCCATCACTTCACTCCTGCTTCCTCCCCCCCATACAGTATCAAGTATTAACTAGCACAGCAGGTTTCAAAAGTTAACTATTTTCTCCTTTTTGAAATATGTTCCATCAATCTGTAATTGTGTCCTCTTTGGCATGTTTCCTCTCTAATGCACTTGCTACTTCATCTTCTTACATATCCCTCTTCTTTTTTTCAGATAGCTTTGGCCAATTAAGCTTTATCTTAAAAGCAAAAGATTGCACAGTTCAGTAACAGGTCTAGAACAGGAAAATAATTGGCTGCTGCCAGAGGTCTGCAGTACTGCATATTTTTCTGCTAGCTTCTGCTGAATATTTCTTCTCATGACATAATAAGGGGTCTCATAAATCTTTACTAAGTTTATGACACAAAATCACTGGTAGCACTTGAAGGTGTCACTTCTGTGCTGCTGCACCATTCTGCATATTGTAGGAAAAATGCTGAAGGTTGGATTTGGACTTTACTGAAGATCTTCACGCTGGTTAATATTGAAAAGAGCCAGCTCCTTAACTAGCTCTAGGTTATGTATCGTTGGTTTCTCTTGCATGGAGAAGGAAGTTGGATTATTCTGGACTACAATATGCTGGTTATCTGATGAACAAATTGGAGCAGAACTTGGAAAGTGTATTTCTTGGACATTGATTAAGCTGCACAGGGAATTCTGGGAGTTGCAACACAAAACATTTCAAGGGGCATATGTGTTAGTCTGTAGCAGCTTCATAGAACCCTAAATAATAACAAGTTTTACTGATTGCTTTTGTGCATTATACCTCACTTCTTCAGATGCATTCTTCAGCAAATGAGAGCTTATACTAAATTAAACTTTTTAGTCCTTAAGACACCATTAGACTCTTTTTTTAACCATAATCCAAAAAGGACATTGTCTAAATTTTCAGTAGAGGAGTTAGATTTGTGCAAAAGAGGAAGATTTTTCTTGTAATAATAGTATGTGCTGTTGAGACAGTTCTGACTTATGACAACCCTTCTAAGGGTTTTCTAGGTATAAGGTACAGAGAAATAGTTTAGAAAAAAAATGAAAAAAGGACGTCTCCAAAATAATACAAATGTAAGAACAGGAGATACCTTTATTAGACTACTAAAAAATTTAGAGTGACCTTGGCTGCCAGATGGGCGGTATATAAATCAAACAAACAAACAAACAAACAAACAAACAAATAAATAAATAAACCGAATAGCAGACAACTAGCTTTCAATGATAATTCATCTTCTTCAGACTGACTCATTAGGGCCAACTGTGATGGAGATATTAGTATTCGTATATGAATATAAATATAGTGGTGCCTTAATTTACGACCATCCCGATTTATGAACATTTCAAATTACAACCAGCTCTGGCTGCAAAATTTTGCTTCGACTTGCGGCCGGAGTTTCGGGTTACAACCAGAAAAAAGGCAGGGGAAAATATGGGGAATTCAAATTGCTAACCGTTGGTAGCGAAGAGGCTGCTTCTTTGTAGCTCTTTCGCCCCAGCGGTTAGAGAGTGTGCGTTCGGAGGAAGCGTCGGACTGCCTCGTAAGGTGTTGCTTTCTACTTTTTTAAAACTGGCTGTTCTGGGTGGGTTTTGCAGTGTGGGTTTGGGCTGGGTGATGGAGTTATATTTCTGTGCTGTGATGGGTCTTGCAGGGTTTGTTTGTTTTTTGGGTTTTTTCCTCCATTTCCCATGGGTCTTGCAGTCTCTGTTTTTTTGGAGATTTTTTTTTGCATTTCCCATGGGTCTTGCAGTTTGTTTGCTTTTTGGGTTTTTCTTTTTGCATTTCCGATGGGTCTTGCAGTCTCTGTTTGCTTTTTGGGTTTCTTTTTCTTTCTCTCTCTCTCTCTCTCTCTCTCTCTTTCTTTCTTTCTTTCTTTCTTTTGCATTTCCAGTGAGTCTTGCAGGGTTTGTTTGCTTTTTGGTGATTTTTTTTTTTTGCATTTCCGATGGGTCTTGCAGGGTTTGCTTTTTGTTTGTTTTTCCTTCAGTCGGAACGGATCAATCGAGATTCCGATGGGTCTTGCAGGGTTTGTTTGCTTTTCTGTTTTTTTTCTCTCTCTTTGGCCGGAACAGATTAACTGCGTTTCCAATGGATCTTGCAGTGGATTTTTGTTTGTTTTGTTTGTTTGTTTTTTGGTGATTTTTTTCCTTCGGCCAGAACGGATTAATTGAATTTCAATGCATTCCTGTGGGAAATGGTGCTTCAACTTATGACCATTTTGAGTTACGACCATCTTCCAGAACCAATTTAGTTCGTAAGTCGAGGAACCACTGTATCCCCATCTTTAGGTGTAATCAAAATTATTCAACTCCCATTGCAAATCAGGTTTATTGTCAAAATTTACAACATACTTTCTTATGTGGTGTGGATCTTGTCTAAGCTAGAATTGTTTTAAACC